ACTATGTATCAAAATGTTGATTATATTTATGGAAATATGAAAATTTTAAGGACTTCGATTTTACACGTCAATAGACAACTTCTCTATCAAATGAACTAATTATGGAAACTGTAGTAATTAATATCACATTCCTATTTTTGATCATAGGCTTATTAAAACTTGATCCACGTAATGGGAGGGTACGTACATACAACATGCATACCCCATTACCCTGGCTCCCATCCCCGGCTTCCACTCTCGGAAACACCCTGGCCTGGACACACGTGAAGTTAACCTCACCAACAAAGAAAAAAGAGAGGGAAGAATGGAGTAAACGAAGCAAAAGAAAACTTGGTGAATGCTGCAATTATGTATTGAAGAGGAAAAAAGAAGTATATTGTCAACATAATATAATATAGTACTTCAAAGAATAAAAAAGAGAAGAGAATATCTGATCTCAATTCTTAAAGCACTCTTCCATCCATGCCATCAAGAAGACCAGACCAAATGCCCTTTACTGGTGGCAATTGCAATACAAAAGCATTCCAAGAAGGACAACCAACACCACTGCCACGCACACGACCATCCAGGCGTAGAGATAAATACCTGCACATGATTAAAATGACCAAACATCATTCATTTGCTTAAAGTTAGTAACTCTTTTATAACAATGCCTACTAGCATTTCAAGATTTATTTAAAGATTCACGTAAAACCATGATGAAGGTCCATTTTTCTGAACTCAATAATGCTTACATTGCAGTCCTATTTGACACGTACCATGAAGAATTCAATCAACCGATCTTTCTCTTAGAAAACCTATATATACTACTATAGTTGCAGAATACTTACACTGGAGATTCAGGAGAGACACCGGCTAGTTTCTTCTGTTCATCTATCCACCTATCACGAGTGAACCAAATATGAGAATCTTTGTTTTTACTTCTCGATGTCAATGTAATTATTGTTAATGTTAGCAGCACAAGTGAGAGAAGAAATAGTTTCAAACTACACAAAGTTTCATGTTGTTGGTAGCTCACTCACTTAGTCCACTCAGTGGCATAAATAGGAGCAAGCTGCCATAGCCTTTTTCTTCTGGAAATTTTCTCCAGTAGTTCTTCATTCTCTTCAAATTCAAAGCTAGGAGAAATTCCATCTGTTGCAAAAGGGACCACAAGCACTCCTCTTTCTAGAAGGCCCTCAGTAAATGGTGCACTGAGTTTGAAACATTCTGAAAGGAAAGCCGAAGGGCCAGCAAGGATGACCAAACGAGCAATCCCTCTGAAAGCATTAACAGGGACAACTTTCTTCTCATCCACACGGAGCTTAAGATTTGAGAGATTTTCCTCTCTTGCTAATTTTGCTACCTGAGCATTTTTTGCTTTATTCTCTCTATAATACAGAAAAGCAAATATGGAGACTGCGCCAAGATCTATGCCAAGACCTTTTAGGATCTCAGGAACTTCAGCACCTCTTGATGAATTGGCCAATGCAGCAATTAGCCGTGTAGAGGCAATAAGTCCTCCAAGACCAGCGCTTGCAATAAAAGCAATATAGAAGAACATCCGAACAGACCGAAATGGAGAAAGAACTTCACTTCTTATCTTGGCTGTAGAACTAAATAACAAATAAAATGAAGATCAAAAGGTTGTTTTACTTTAAGGAAATGGAAGCAAAATATTTTGATAAAAGCTATCCAATCAGATGAGTACTGAAACTGGGGTACATATACAGAAAACATATCCACGCAAAAAATGAAGTTGAATTTTGCACATTCTTAACAGCTGTCAGAAACTCGAAAAAGTGGAGTAGACTTGTTATGGCTAAATGTGAAATACAAGGACCTTAATGCACACAAAATTACATCTGGAAATAACGACTAACACAAAATTGAGCTGCAATATTAATGCTCTTTTGGAGCAGCAAGTTCTTCGCTGTTGATCCATCAATAAAACAAGGCTTATTATAACCTTTAACAAGTAAACTTTTCCAAACCCGTTCTGCTACAGAGGTGAACATGTATTTGTACAAACTTTCTCCAAAGGAATTCCATTACCAATCATTCAGTGTGACATGAACAGGGAAACTTATGAGCAGACGATGAACCCCCATTAAAAGGAAAGTATATGTGGTCAATACTCAATACACATATGCTAATCTTCCCCCCTTTTTGATAAGCAAAGTAGCTTTATTAAAAGGTCCGAGGAGGATATACACCCGTAGCCCGTAGGTTTGTACTCGATAAACTAATGGTTTAATCTCCCTCGTCTTATCCTTCCCAACTAAAAGTAGTCTTAGTAATTCCCATGAGCGTTTCATATATTACACTTTGGTTTGTTAACAGCTTTTTTCTGTTTTAACCAAATGGACACAAGTAAGTCAATAATATTGTAAATACACAAATAAACAAAACAGCAAACCATCTCAACCTAGAAGTGAGGAATCAATAAAACAAGTCAGTACTCGTGTATAATTTGATGCTTCATCAAGCTATAGCAATTATACACGTCATGTAATTTGGCCTACTCAACTTATAATACATAAATTCATAATCTGCATTCAATATGGACCAAAATATACCTGTCCTCAAAACTTAAGGGACCATATAAGTTAAAAGTTTTAATTGCATGTATTTTCTTGTCTAAATAGATCTCCATATGATTTATTTTGGATAGATTTAGATTTTAGACTACAAGCCAAATTATTATGAGGTTAGATTGATGCATATTGAAGGGAATATTCTATCTACTGAGGATTCTGAAATTGCAAGATACTCATCCCCTCTAATGAATGACTAGATTCATACCAAATTTCTCTTGAAAATCTAGCAAATGATGAGCAATGAGTGGAGGCGTGTACTATATGTATTACCCATTCACCAGTGATATGATACACACATCAGAAGCAGTAGGTTACTAACTGATGAGTATTAGTACTAAAACTTTCCTTTCAAGAAAGGAGACAAGCTCTTTAATCTATGTCATATCCTTCCTTGTGGATTCACTGTTACTAAAGGAGTATGCTGTAGCGTATTTAGAATAGGTTGTATGGGTTAAGCTAAGTCCACGCCTTCCAGCTCGAACCATAAACACATAAATACATATATATGTGTCTGTGGAGAGAAAATATGTATAGAGAGTTAGCTATATATCTCAAAACACATCCTCCCAATTCAGAACACACACGCTAACTGAGTAATAACCCGTGCCTCTGATTCTGCAATAACTTTACATACCGCTAGATTAATATAGCTTGTTCAACCACCCTTCTTTGGAAATAGGAGTTACTTATCAATGTTAACATCCAAATGACAATGATCGCTCCCTTAAAAGCACATTTCTGACATGTCCCTCCTTGGTGGTTAACAAACAAGATTAACAGGATTGTCAATAAAACAAAGGGTAAGTCTCTCCATTCATATTAATCTTCTGTTACAAAGCTTCATAACATACGGAATAATGAAATTCGTCTGGAATTGGACGGAATAACTCAAAATTAAAACTTAAGTTTCCTTTTATTAGGGCATACTTTTAGCAATTTCTCACATTACAATTCTTCCCTATTATAACAAAATCAAATCAACCAACATAAGCATCTACAGGAGCTGAAATGATACCTTATATCAGAAGAAGAAGGACTCGAATTGTCACAAACTACAGAGAGCGATTTCGGTTTGCGTCTGGAACTGATGATGTCAGTGAAGCCGGAGTAATATTTCCCACCATATTTCAATTGGCGGGAAAATGCGGACCGTTTAGTGGTAAGATGGAAGTTGGGAGAATTGATGGTAATATATGAGAACTGCGCCGCCGTAGCCATGGCTGAGCAACGTTATTCCGGTAGAAATGCAGTGGTTTGTGAAGGTATAAACATGGCTGCTACCACCGTGAGTTGGGGAATGGAGGGATATTAGTTTTGGATGATCCAAACACAGCCACGACGATTTTGGCTTCCTTAATAATATTGGCTTTTAAAATAAAACGAATTTTCAAAATTCTAAATTGAACTATGAATTGGAGTAGTAATTACTAATTAGAGATAATGCTTACGCAGAATTTTCATTTATTTTTTTTCGCCAATTTCATATCCAATATTTATTCATCAAGTTAATCTTTTGAGCAAATAATAAATCCAGTGTAAAATAAATATATATGAATATTATTAATATTATAATTTTTTAGTGGTATTGATTAAAATAATTTGAAAATTTTAGCTATTTATAATCATCATTTATAGTATTTTTTTACGCAATTTTCAAATGTATAAAAGACCATTAAAACATATCTGGGATTGTTACATGAGTTAGTTATGTGTTGCCGCTTTTTGCCACGGTGAAATTATTTTCACAAGCAATTTTTTATTTTAAAGAAAGAAAGTATAATACAGAAACCATCACATATTATTTGAGGTGTGTTTCACATACTTATTTTTTTTTTCGACGCGACGCGAAGAAATAGTTTAGAATATGTTACTCGAACTCTAAATAATTTAGGTGTGAAACTAAAATAACGAATAGTCTAAAATGTTTTTGACACTTCACTCTTTCAAAAAATGTTTAAATTTATGAAAAAATCATTAATTAATTTTGATGATGTGTTTATAACATCTAATTAGAGGCTAGATGCACACTAGTGTTGGACGACATATGTGCTTCTAACCATTGAGTAATTTAGTTATTTTGATATTAAATTACTATTAAAAAGGAATCTTTTAATAATTCCTAGATTTAGAAATTAAGAATGTAATGTTAAATGTTAACTCGTGAGCTGTAAATTGTAATTAATGGAACGGATACAATTTAAAAATAAAAAATTGAAGAGATGATTCACACAATAAAAAAAACCAAAAATTGATGGACCGTTAGTATATAACTAAATAAAATGAGAACATGATTTGGCATGGGATAAACACTAAGTAGCCATCAAGATCATTATTTAAGTTGAAATTTCTATCCTTGACTCCACTTGTCTCATTTTTTAAAGTAAATTTTCAATCATTCAAATTGGTACAACAATAGTTTAACTTAAACTCATTAAAAATTGACATTTGATCAAAAACTCAAAGTCTTGAAATTTGCAAACAATCACAGCTTATTAGGGAGAAAAAAATGGAAGAGCAAGTAAAATTGTTTGGAGCTTTTCCAAGTCCCTTTAGTTATAGGATCATTTGGGCTTTGAAACACAAGAATATTTGTTATGAATACATAGAAGAAGATCTTTCTAACAAAAGCCAACAGCTTTTGACATATAACCCTATTTGTAAGATGATCCCAATTCTTTTACATGGTGGAAAACCAATAGTTGAATCCACAATCATTCTTGAATACATAGAAGAAACATGGCCCCAAAATCCTTTGTTCCCCAAGGATCCTTATAAAAGGCTAAGGCTAGATTCTGGATCAAGTTCGGAGAAGATAAGGTAATAATTATTTATTCGTCTTTAACTTTGTCACGTTAGTACATTTACTTTAGGTCTAGTGGTTGTCAAGATTCATGTAACATGTCTTAGAGATCATTTATATGTTAGTAGAAAATATAGAGAACTTATCGTGAGGGAGAAATTAAATTTGTCTAATATAGGACAAGCAAGAGCTTGATAGACATTGAGGATTTGTATCAATTTGGTTGGTATTGAGATTTGAGATGTAGTTGTTGTTGACAAGTGTTGAATCATATAAATAGATCTACAACATACCCTCATGTGTAGGCCTAATCATTCTCTTGACCTAAAGACATAAATTTTTTTGTTGATGGATGCATAAGATTCAAACTTATATATATCGTATATTATATTGAATTGCGTGAATTGTCTTATTAAAAAATATAAGTTGATGGATAGTAGAAAGTAGTACTAACATTTTTTTGTGTTAATGTAGAACTCAGAATTTTATCAAATATTTCACAAGATTGGAGAAGAGCAAGTTAAGGCAACTGAAAATGCCAAAAAAATCTTTAAAATTATAGAGGAACAAGGTCTTGGAGATAAAAAGTTTTTTAGTGGGGATACAATTGGTTTAATTGACATAGCCTTTGGCTGGCTTGCTTTCTGGCTAGAAGTCATACAAGAAGCTGCTGGAGTAAAGGTCTATGAACCAAACAATTTTCCTCATTTACAATCTTGGATTAACAATTTCAAACAAGTAGCTATCATCAAAGAAAATATCCCAAATCGAGATGCAATGCTAGATTATTTCAAACGTCGTAGAGAAATAATTGTTACGATATGATCACTTCAATATTGAGGATGTGTTTATATTGAATAAAATGTAGTTTGGGAATGCGGCGTTACAAAAAAGGATGAATACATGAGATCAACAAAGAAGAATTAAGAAAGAGACACGTTGATTATATCTTACATAATCAACTTCATGTACAATATTATTATTTCAATATAAATTTACTCTTATTTTAGTATCATTCATTATATTTTGAATGAACACAAACAAGATATAATTTATTACTCAAGCTCATGTCCATGAAGAACAAATCCTTTCGAATATATTTCCTTGAATCAAGGTGTGCGAATATGTTTTTTTTTGGATATCTGAATGCTTTTAATTTTGCAGATACTTCCTACGACTTGAATAAAAAAATCGATATATGAATCCTGACAAGTGACAAACAACAACTAAAAAATATATATAATGGTCAAACGGTCATTTGATACCAGACGTTAGAGGTTAAGTTAAGCGTCTGCTTTAGACACCAAAATTTTGAGACCTCAAAAAATTTTGATAGTGAAATTTATGATTTTAATTTCACTCAAAACAATATTTCAAGAACATTATAAAAAGATTAAAGAAAAAAGAACTACTTACTTTTTATCAATAATATTTTAGAACTTTAAATTAAACAACTCAAATCTTCATATTAATAAATAAAGTTTTTACATCAACATCCAACATGATGTATTGCAAACAAATGCCTAACTTCTTAATAACTAGAACTAATCCTTACTCTTATAAACAATAATATTATTATGTGAATGTATACACTTAATATCTTTTAAGAATATGTCCTAAAAACAAATAGTGTATAAGAACTAAAAAAAAGAATTCAAAACATTGTGACCGTCTGTCTTTATCTGTAATTATAACTATAAATTTGAACAGTTGATATGAATGCTTAAAAGTTGGGATCCGAGTGTTTTAATTTCCACCAATCACAAAACATTGTTTTTTATGACATTCTCCTTATCGTGACCGTCCATCTGTATGTGTTATTATAACTATGAATTTGAACCGTTGATGTGAATGTTTAAAGGTTGGGATCTGAGTGTTTTAATTTCCACCAAACACAAAACAACATTATCCTTATAAATAGACAGATGATGTACTCATTGATACGCGCGCCTTCTTCAAATCATGTATCAATATGATTAAGAAAATATATATTAATTAAATTTTGAGTGAAATTTATATCATTTGACTCTTAAAAGATATAATATTAAAAAGAGAAAAAGATCCAAAAAGTGACAAATTAAATTAATAGAAATATGATATGATCTCGTTACAAATTTAGCTAAGATATAATAGAATAATGGATGAATTTTTCATGTATTTATGCATACAAATTTAAATATTTTCTCAAATTAGTTCCAAAACTTTGAATATCACCTATTTCATAATTAATTAAGTTTATAGCTTAGATTTTTTTTAAATCTAATTGTCAATTACAAACTTTTCTAATTTTTGAATGTAAATATTTTAACATTAAAAAAAATATTTGTTAATATAGCGTATATCATATAAAAAACACTATCACTTTATGTATAGATTACAAAGTAAAAGGGAAAAAATTAGATCTAACCTTATAAATTTTTATGTTATGAAATATTTATCATCTACTAATTTATAATGTGTAAAAGTTAAAAATATGTTGATGAAGATCCATGTCATGAAATTTAACCTCAATTTGTCCAACAAGAAAATTTCTTAGCCAAAAGTAATGCATCTCTTCCCTAATTGCTTTCAGAATCTTCTTGCCCACTTCCTCTTAACGTTTCTCAAAATTATATTTTTGAAATTCTCACACTATTTCAAATTTTCAACATTTATATGAATTGGAATAATTTAATTAATCCAAACTATAGAAGAAAAATCTTGGACATCCTTAGTGTAATTTGTAAAAATACACATTTTTCTATGAAACAAATTTCTATTATATTTATGAAAAATTAGATCATTTCAAAGATGAAACTTTTAAAATAAATAAAATTATGATAATTCACAAGGAAATTACAATTAGTTGGAAGACATATACTAACAAATAATCTTTCTTGAATTGTACTTCAAAAGAATCAGTGGCAAACTCGATTAATTTTAAAATCTTTTGTTTTTTTTCTTCACTTGTGTGTGTCGCAAGGTGAGGACTTAGTCATCCTTCAATCTTCGTTTCTTTGCTTCAAAAGAAATAAAAATCACATCTTTTTGATCATGTATTCACGTTCATTCAATACATTTGTTGCACATAAAATTCATAATAAGTTCAAAACACTCCAAAAAAAAAATGATGCATAAAATATAAGACAATAACGTAATATTAATATACATTTTTAGCCGAATATCACATAAATTCATAATAAGTTCAAAACACTCAAAAAAAAAATGATGCATAAAATATCCGCCAATTTGCATAATTTTGTATATATTGTTTTAATGTAGAACTCAGAATTTTATCAAATATTCCACTTGTCTCATTTTTTAATGTAAAATTTCAGTCATTCAAATTGGTACAACAATAGTTAAACTAAAACTCATTAATAATTGACATTTGATCAAAAACTTAAAGCCTTGAAATTTGCAAACAACCACAACTTATTAGGGAGAAAAAAAATGGAAGAGCAAGTTAAATTGTTTGGAGTTTTTCCAAGTCCCTTTAGTTATAGGGTCATTTGGGCTTTGAAACACAAGAATATTAGTTATGAATACATAGAAGAAGATCTTTCTAACAAAAGCCAACATCTTTTGACATATAACCCTATTTGTAAGATGATCCCAATTCTTTTACATAATGGAAAACCAATAGTTGAATCCACAATCATTCTTGAATACATAGAAGAAACATGGCCCCAAAATCCTTTGTTCCCCAAGGATCCTTATAAAAGGCTAAGGCTAGATTCTGGATCAAGTTCGGAGAAGATAAGGTAATTATTTCGTCTCTTCAACTTTGTCATGTTTACTTTAGGTCTAGAGATCGTTTATATGTCAGTACAAAATATTAAGAACCTTATTGTGATGAAGAAACTAAAATTTTGTAATAATAAGATAAGCAAAAGCTTGATAGACGGTGAAGATTTATATCAATTTGCTCGATATTGAGGTGTAATTGTTGTTAACAAGTGTTGAATCATTTAAAGTACATCATCTAAAATTTTAATCATTAACGAATGACACTTTTAGTTTATATATATTATAGATCTACAACATAACCGAATCGATTTTGTGATTTCGTTTTTCAATGTAGTATGTCGATGCTCACTTCTCACGTTTATGTTGTTTTTCCATCCATTTGCTTAAGCTCACAACCAAAGCAGTTCGAAATCGATGGTGCATTGCCGTCGATGAAGAATTTGAATTTTTTGTGAAATGTACACAAGTGGTTCGAACCAGAGTAAGAGAGGCCTTCTAAAACGTAAATTCTAGTGAACAGGTTTGCCTCTTTTACTTTATTTTTCTGGATATATGTTTAGCTTGGATAGTATCACATCGTTTTTAAGGTATGAAGACGAGATTAGTTGATTGTGTACTTTGTTTTTTAGCTAAATTGGTTTGTGTGCTGCCAAAGGTAGGATTCTTCGAACTAAATTTAATTACAAACATTACAGTTGATGAAATCAGATTACCAAATCATTTCATACGATAATGTAGTTTCTAAATTAGAAGTTAGCATCTCGTCTGACCAACTTCAATTGCCAACACAAATATGTGGTTTTTAGGAATGTTAGCTAAGTCAATTTTATAGCAAAGTAATCAGAGCTTAGCTTGTATTACCTGTAGAAGTTTCATCAAGTAAGTCATAGTTTTGGATGGTCTGATGATGATATACTCCACACTTGCCCTCTTGGAAGTTAGAATTCAGAAAGCACTGAATCTTTTCATGAAGGAGCTTCGTGTTAAATCTGCTTACTTGGTTTCTTACCCTACACTTTTGATGCATAGTTTGGAAAAAAGAGTGTTATCTCGGATGGAAGTCTTGAAAACTTTTGGACGAAAAGAAGCTTAAGAGGAGAGAGTTGATGCTCTATATTGTTGTCAGTTCATAGAGTATATAATTTGTGCTGCCCTACAACGATAAGATACCTGATATGTATGAACCACTCAAGAAAATTGTGCTCCTTTTTTGGCCTTTTTCTTTTCATAGTGAATTCTGAAAAACAGGATCGGTGTTGCAAAAAATCATTTATGGAGTTGGGGCATAGTTTATTGAAAGACTGAATTGTTGTGAGCTCTATGCAAAATCAAGGTTTCCATTTGATGCTGTTCGGATTCAAGTGATCTTGTTGATAACTGATTCCTTTGGCGATTACCAGCAGCTTTGTCCCCGAAGACGACCAAATTTTTTTCTGTTGTGCAATTTGTCCCATAACTTGCAGTGCATAATCATAGTGAACTTACCTCACTAGTGTGTTTCATTTTCTTTATGAAACCCCCTCCCAAAAGAAAGGCTGCCGCACATATATAGGATTGTTTTTCTTACAAGTCTTTGGCTACAGATTAATTTATTAGTTTGCTATAATATGCATTGTTTTTACTATTTCCTGCTGCAATGGAAGAAAGGCTTACTGTCGATGTAACTAATTACAGAGTGAACGTGCAAAGTTCAGATGGAGGATAAATTTCTTCCTCGAAAAAGCATTTAATGTAAGTTTGCTACTATGTGTCCTTTTTATTTACTTAATACACCAGTGAAGTGAAGCCAGCATAATATTGTGGTTAGCCATGTCCTTTTTGTTTTGTAAATTTCTTTTGACTTAGTATGATGTTTTTATGGTAGTTTGTCTTATTGATATTTCAACTTTTTGGCTTTACAAATATTATGCAAAACTCTTCTGCTCATGTTTCGTATACGTATTTTTGATTGCACAAAATGTGAATATATGTTTTCCATTTTGCGAGCCTCGTAAGGGTGATCTAAAGTTGAAACAACATTTGCTCATCCTATTAGATAGGCTTTGGATTTTACGTCCAAATGGGAAGTGCTCAATACTTTATAGTATGCTTGGCTCCTATCGGACTGAATAATAGTTTTCTTTTTTATGAAGTATTCCTTGATATGCATGCATCCGGTTTCTTTCCCAGACTTTACCATTTTCAGGTTATATCTGTCATGATATTCTAGCAGCCTTGTCATTGGCTTTCTCAAAATCAAATACTGATTTCATGTCACTTATTGCAGGTGGCGTCTATTCCCCTAAGAGCCCAAGAAGATCACCATATGGATCTTACCAACGAAGATCATGCGAGTCCTCGTTGAATGCTATTTCTTGAATATGTTGTGGTTGATTTTTTTTTCAAATAAACAAGCTTTAAGCGTTAAACATACTCTAAAAAATGAAATGAAATTTTTTAAGAATATAAAGAAGGAGGAATGACAGTTGTTGCATTATATACATTACGGCGGTTTAAAGCTGTCACTCAATGCGCCGTTCAGAAATACAATTGCGGCGGTGATTGACTGTAGCAATATAAAACAATAAACGCCATTTTATGCAATATTACAATTACAGCGGTTTGTCCAAAACCGCCGCAATACTCAAATAAAAACCGTCGTAATTGCTTCCTTTTTTTGTAGTGGTAGGCCTAATCACATTAGCACGTTTACTTTAGGTCCAGTGGTTGTCAAGATTCTTTTATAGTTTTTAGGGATCATTTGTACGCAGTAGAAAATATGAAGAACTTATCGTGATGGAGAAATTAAGTTTTTTTAACATTGGACCAGAAAGAGCTTGATAGATAGTGAGGATTCATGCCAATTTACTCGGTATTGAGATGTAGACATTGTTGGCAAGTATTGAATCGAATAACTAATTCATCTAGAATTTTAGTCATTAACAACTGACACTTTTAATTTATAATTATATATATATATATATATATATTATAGGAGAAATTTTATTTGCCAGATGTATAACCAACACTATTTATGTGAGGCTATTTTATGTTTTGACAACTGGACAATTGCTTGTTTTAAGCATAAAATCAAAAAGGTAATAGTAAAGTCCACATTTTCCGTAATTAGATTTCTTAGCTAAAAACAAAAAAAAAACTAAAATTAGATTTCAATCAACCATTAAGAGAACGGTAATGATGGTATTAGTTTATTATGTCTTTTTTTTTTTTACTGTTTAATATGTAATCGTCAATAGCTGCTATATAATGAACTCAATTCTAAATAATCATTGTTAATATCTCAAATTCTGGTCTCAACTATTTGGTATTGTACATTTTTTTTTAAAAATAACCATCCAGGCATAATATTGCCAATACATTTTTTTTATCATTATCTAATCACATATTTTGCATACATTTTCAATTTTCTTTTTCTTTTTCCTTTTTTTCCCCTTTTAGCTAAGCATTTTAATTAGGGAAAAGAAAATATTGAATTGAATATTACCTTTTTTGTTTTATGCTTAAAAAAAAGTAAGTATCCATTAGTCAAAAAATTAAATAACCTCACATAAGTAGTGATAGGTTTTTTGTCTCACAAAATAAAATTTCTCATATTACAAAACTACAACATACCCTCATCTGTAGGCCTAATCATTCTCTTGAGCCAAAGACAATTTTCCGTTGATGAATGCCATAAAATTCAAACTTGTAGTCATATGTATTATGTTGAATTGTGTGAGCTGTCTCATTATATATATATATATATATATATATATATCGTGAATTGTCTTATTAAAAAATATAAGTTGATGGATAGTAGAAAGTAGTACTAACATTTTATTGTTTTAATGTAGAACTCAGAATTTTATCAAATATTTCACAAGATTGGAGAAGAGTAAGTCAAGGCAACTGAAAATGCCAAAAAAATCCTTAAAATTATAGTGGAGCAAGGTCTTGGAGATAAAAAGATTTTTAGTGGGGATACAATTGGTTTTATTGACATAGCCTTTGGGTGGCTTCCTTTCTGGCTAGAAGTCATACAAGAAGCTGCTGGAGTAAAGGTCTATGAATCAAACAATTTTCCTCATTTACAATCTTGGATTAACAATTTCAAACAAGTAGCTATAATCAAAGAAAATATCCCAAATAGAGATGCAATGCTAGATTATTTCAAACGTCGTAGAGAAATGATTGTTTCCATATGATCACTTCAATGTTGATGATGTGTTTATATTGAATAAAATGTAGTTTGGGAACGCGGCGTTACAAAAAGGATGAATACATGAGATCAACAAAGAAGAATTAAGAAAGAGATCAATACGTACGTTCAATACGTTAATTATATCTTTCAGTATCAACTTCATGTACAATATTATCATGCCAATATTAATTTATTCGTACTTAATTATCATCCTGTTTTGAACGACCACAAAAAAGATATAATTTATTACTATAGCCAAACTATTTTTTTTAATGATGAAATGGAAAAGAAGCTGAACTTTAATATATTGGGGAGCTAAATCTTAGTCGTGTATTAAAAACGACAAGTGAATTGAAGAAAATATTCAGGAATCACTCATGTCCGTAAAGAATACATTCTCATGCAGATACTTCGAATATATTTTCCTTGGATATGTGACTGCTTTAAATTTTTGTTTCATTGTGGTTGGCTCCAAGGTAAAGCTAGTAAAGCGTTTGCTTTAGTCCTCCAAATTTTGAGACTCCAAAAATTTTGATAGTAAAATTTATGATTTTAATTTCACTCGAAATAGCATTGAACATTATTAAAAAAATTAAATAAAAAAAAAGGAAAGAAGAACTACTTACTTTTTATCAAGAATATTTTAGTCTTTTGAATTAAACAACTCAATTTTTTATATTAATAAATAAAAAATTTACATCAACATCCAACGTGATGTATTGCAAACAAATGTCCTATTTCTTATTAACTAGAACTAATCTGTACTCTTACAAACAATAGTATTATTAAATGAATTTACACTACAAAAAACCCCTGAATTGCCAACAAAATTATCCGTTGGTAAATTGATTAAATTGGTTGGCAAATAAATTTTCCAACCGAATATCAACTAATATTAATCCGTTGCTAAAAAGCTCATTGATAATTTTTCCAACCCAAATCTATTAGTTGGTAAAATTACCAACTAAAAATCGATTAGCAAACACACATAGATTTTGTTGGTAATTATGAAACATGGCCTAAATCACTAATCAATTTTTCGGTTGGTATGTCGTTGGTATATTTACTAACGAAGAGAAACAAAGTTAGTAAATTTGATTTCTCATTTTTCAATTTCGTTGCTAATTTGTTGGCAAACATAGCAACAAAATAAGAAGTCGTTGGTATTCTGTTAGCGGGATAAAAACTTGGTTGGTAAGTTAGATGGTAAATTCTTTGAAATACATTGGTAGTCGGTTAGCAATTTTAATTACGAAAAAATTATGTTGGTATCTCATTGGTAAATTACCAATCAATTATAAATTCATTAGTAATCATGACTACCCGCGGACTTTGTAAACTATGTTAGTAAATGGTTTGTAATTCATCAGGTAGTTTAAAAACTAATTGTTAATTTGTTGGTAAAATTTCATATTCAGTATTTAGTTAGTAATTGATAGGTAATGTATTGGCTATATTACCAACTGAATAGTAGTTTCGATAGTAAAGTTTTAATTCATTCATTTATATGAATTTATAGCTTTTAAAAATCTAAAGGGGAATGAAAACAAAATAAAAACAATGAGACTTCTATAAATCATAACTTGAACTAACCAAACAGTCTAAGATAGTTTAAAATAAATTTAAATAAGTGCATAAACAGCACAAATATGTCTAAAATAAATAGTTTAAATAATCTAAATATGACTCGTATCATTACTTGATGGCAAGTCATTTCTAAGCTGGCGGTGTATAGTCCTGCTATGAGGGTTGACAAAAGGTCTTGGAGAATCTTGTCAACTTGCTTTTGCATTTCTTGCCTCATTTCTTCATGCAATTCATGTCTGATCTCTTCTCTCATCTCATACTTCATCTCCTCCTTCAGTTCTTGGACACATTCCTTTACTCGAGTGTCAAAATCATGATCTTGAAGTCGTGAAGATGATGGACCAACATTCTTATAGTAAACTGCTTGAGAACCAAGGCCATAGATGCACGCCTTCTTAACCCCACCCACTTCATCCATGTAAATTTTTGAATAATCAACTTTTGGATACTCAACAGATTCATCTACGTACAGGATGAGATGCAGATGTTATCTTAGACACTACAGCATCCTGGAAACAACATAATTAATGATATTACGCTAAGAAAAATAGTTAAGAAATATAGTAGACATACAACACGACTGACTACTTCATTGATATTAACCATTTTAATAAATAAATTTATTATCAGTAGAAGTAACAGTGATATGAAACCCATACAATGCAAATTTATGATAGGATTTCTACATGGCTAAAATGATAAAGTTTGTATCTCATTCAGTAGGATTTTCTTCAATAAAACTGCAAACACTTACTCAAATAACAGAGATTTTTGTTTCAAAATCAATTCACCAAGTAGAATGTGTGTCTACGTAGATGCTGAAATAAATCCAAATATATAAGTACACATAAAGAAATATTTAAGCATTTGCATCATCCTACGAAATACTAAAAACTCAACAAAAGATGACAAAAACAATTATGAGAATATACAAGACACGTAGGTGATTTAGAGGAAGCTTACATCGTATACAGGAGGGGGTCACCGGGTTCACGTGAACCCGTGAACCCATGATCCCCTCCCGAAATCATATATAGTAGTGTTATATTTTTTTAAAATATTTAAATATAGATGCGTGAACCCAGACTCGAAGTATCATATAATGTAGTACGATGATGATTGGGTGCACCTCTCTAGGTGAGGTTAGAAATTTGAATCTTTTATCTATCTTGTTTTAGTTTTCTTTCTAAGATTTTGTAACTGGTTTGGATAAATAAAAGTTAATTTTGGACCTATGATTTTAAAATTTTAATGGTTTTCAGTAAAAAGAATCTAACCGATCAAATTTATGTCTTAGATCCACATTTTTATAATAGTGCACCCATTATCTATAAATCCTGAATACGCCTCTGCTTACATACTCTTAGGGATCAAACACATGGCGAAAATCCGCAACAACACGCAAGAATCTCGACGAACACTTGATCCTCTCCTCTTTTCTCCTCTTTTCTCTTCTTTTCTCTTCTTGAACTCACAACTAAAACTCTAGGCGTATTTTAGGATTATAAAACTGAACATAATAGGATTAGACCCCTAAAATAGTACTAAAAATGAATTAAATCTGATTGGGTAAGGAAAAGACCAAAATACCCTTTACTATTTTCGGGTAACTTTCCTTAACTGGACAGCCTGACTT